GGGCCCATCATAACTAACTCATTATTAACTACCCATAAACTAGCATCAACTCATGGTTTGTTAATGCATTATTTTGACATGACTTTACTTGAGGGGGCCCAATCATAATTAATTCACTGTTAACTACCTACTAAACTCAGCTCATGATTTATTTTATACTTTCTATCAAATACACATGTAGTAACACAGCGAGTATTTAGCCCGGTTAAGAGATGTGGTGTGGATTTTCAAGAAGTCAGGATCATCACGGCCTGCGTCTGGATGCACAGTGAACTGTTTCCGGGCATTTCTTCAGGATTGTTCTACAAATGTTCTTTGTGGATTTTGAGGTTTTATTTTTATTTAGCTGTTTATAAGTCACAGCAGGGTGAGTTTAAAGGGAAAGTGAACAACACAAAACAGACAAGATCAATCATAAAGCTTTAGATGTCAAAAGCTCAAATTATGATATTATAAATTTATTTCATAGCCATATTTCTTATTTCTTAAAGAGGCTGTTTGATTTAGTTTGTCCATAAATGTTAAATAATGCATTAACTATCATACTAAGGCTGCCGTTATTCATGCGTGACTCCATATGACTCCAGTCTTCATTAATTCATGATTAGTAAACACATTTAATAATAATCAGTATTTGATGAATTAAGTATTAATTTAGGCATTCGTACATGATTATGCATGTACCCTTATTGTAAAGTGTTACCCTTCCTTCAAATGAGCAAATATACATATAAGAGTCACGTAATAATTCAATCTGCTTTAAACTTTCTCTTTGAATTCAGCGCGAGTCTAATGCATTTACATGCTGAGTTTTAGTTTCTCCATAGATTCTGTCCTGTGAATTCCTCCATCTTCATGTTCAGGTCCACCTGAGAGAGATGATGTGAAACAGAACAACAAACGCTTTGTCAGAAGCTGAATGATATTTTGCCTTGAATCAGTAATTAAACATGCTTTACACTCATCCTAATATATTTTACATTTATATTATGTAGGAGAGACCTGGGCTAGTTGTTCATTTCTGTCCATTTTTATAGACATGAACTGTGATTTGTTTTTCATTACGAACTAAACTAAAAATGAACACGAAAAATATCACTGCACAAATATAGAGTAGGCTACATGTCAAACAGCAGGCATGTTCTCCCACTATACATATGACAATCTGTCATCAGAATATAAATGATAAAACTATTATGAAGCACAAAACTCATTAAACAGTAAAAATGGAAACAAACCAATGTTTTGGTCAACATTCCATAAACTGCACGATATACAGCAAAACATGATAACATTGCCTGATTTTGAGTTGTTGTCCAACAAACATAGAATAACCTAGTTAAAACTTGTAGGCTATTTATATATAGCTGACCCTTGTCTGGTGTAGGCCTACTGTTGCTACTTACATACCTCCACCACCAGGTAAACGAACAACCACGAAAAGAGTATCCATGTTTCTAATGCCATGATCACCAAGAGTATCATGGTCCTCCAGTGACGTATGTCTGTAGAACAGTCTGTCTGTTTGATCAATGAAAAGCAACAACAACATGAACAGCAAATATGCATCAACTTAAGCCGGAACGATTACGTTGTCCTCATTAAAATGGCCATCATTTTACAAAAAATACCTTGGTTAAAATGTTTACTAACTTACTGTAGTCAAATAATGGTTCATTGTTGTAAGCGTAAATCCAATATTTACCGATCTGAGGCAAAGATCTTACCAATTAAATAAAAAAATAAAAAAATAAAAAAATCTTAAAGACAAGAAACTTGCGTGTTTGACTTACAGTCGGGGTTTATCAATTGGATTTTTCTTCTCAACTCTTCAACTGTGGTGTTTCTGAATTCCTCCTCCGAGTTCGCCACATTGACATGTTTTTTCTCTCCTTTTGCACCTATAATAACGAGCTGGTAAATCATTTTGAACGTGCTCGAAACTTAGCAGAAGAACTTAAAATGAATTTAGAAGCGACCCTTCCGGACGAACACGACGCTGTGGTTAGTTGCACTTTCGCTATCTTAAGTGACGCGACTTACATTTTTTTCAGCAATTTTCTGCAATTTTCACATTCATTTACTAAAGTTTTTTTTTTCTTTTTTTTTAAATAAGCGGAATTCACAATTCAAATAAACAATTTGAATTCAATTAAAGTAACATATTAAATAATATAACTATAGATTTGATAACCATGTCTAATTTTGTCAGGAGAGCAAAAATATAGTTATTTATTCAAATATAGTTTATTGCATTGTTATTATTACAATTCCTGGAGCCTTATTTATTCATTTTAGTCATGCTCATGGCAAAGAGAAGCACAAGAGGCGGAACTCTGATGCGTTTTTGGTAACAGCCTCTAGGTTATGGGATCAGAATCCCGCCTAAAGTATTGCAGTCACGGATAA